GAAGGCTAACGCGCGTACCTCCCCCCCTCAGAACAAAACGCACTCCTGCCGCACAAAGGCTTTATATCAAGGAGAGGACTCCTGCAGAGTGTGTCGCAGCGTATATTGTAAGTGATTAATTCTCGTTTGGTGACTTATGAGAGTCATGAAAACACCGACTTACCGGCCGTGAGTGTGGAAGCAGAAGTCCCGGAAGGTATGTGATGTAGTCACTCCCAGCTATTAACATACATCTTTTTGTTTAGAGAACGTTTATAAACTCCAGAGTACACCATGGTGGAACCAACGCTTGTTATGGAACCGCCGATCACGTCACTTTTCGAATGCATTTCTGGAGGCATTCTCCACTTGGATAAGGCCGCAAAAGTAATGGCCTCAAAAATGCGAGGAGGATCGTTTAACCAAGCCGCTCATGATGTAGTTTTTCTTACGCTCTACAAGCCAATGCCCGTATTCTATGGCTCTTTTATATCAGAATTTCTTAAAATCGGACATTGCAACCGAGGCAAACTTCCGTTTTGACGATCTCAATCGTCTCTATAGGCCGGACGCTACACATTCCAACGCATTGGCGACCGGGTTAATGGTTTGTCTACCGATTCATCTATCCTTTTTTCTTATTATTGCTGCTTCTTCTTATGTTGATTACAGAGCGAGTTAGCACTGTCGAGGCAGCAAAAGGTGGCACAACTCCTCGAAATAACGGAGAAGACGACACCACCCAGTCAAGACCGGACTCTATCGCTACAAAAATTGCGCTAAGTTATGGCATTTGTACGTCCCAGCACCATTTGCAAAGGTAAGTGGCCATTTTTACTTGTGTAAGCTTGTAATCACAATGTATTCAGCTTAAACTAAACGAAGTAAACAAGACCGGACTCTATCGCTTCCACGCAGTGGAAGCGCAGAAAAAGGGAAAACCTACATCAGCAACTTCCTGTTCCGCTTTATACTATTGCGAGTAAGTCAAATACATTTTTTTCGCAAGTTACTAAAGTCATAGAACTTTCTGTGTAGGCAACTAGTCCGCCTCAAACAATCCAAGAGTGTGCCGTGCGTGTCAACAAAAGTAGCGGGAGGGACGTGCGACTAAGAACGCTTCCAGAAGAAGTAGAAGAAAGTCTTAGAAATGTTTAAATTAGCTTTTTCAATTATTTCTTCACGATGAGCATT